TTCTCTTCAGATCAAGGCATATTCAGCAGCTCTTTCATCATGTCAGCAAGTACTATCAATTGAACCTGATAATGTAAAGGCATTGTTTAGAAAGGGAAAGGTGAGTTTAGATAATAAGACATGATTTACGATTCCACTCTCTCCTAGTGAGTCTGGCTTCCCTTCCTTGTATACCTGTGTCAACCATTAGAGGATGAAATCAACTTAAAAAGGAATTGAAATAAAAGAGTAGTGTTTCTGTAGGTACTGGCAGCTCAAGGGGAGTTAAAGGAAGCCATATCTCACATCAAGAAAGCAAGTCAGAATGAGCCTGGAAATAAAACTATCCGCACTGAACTCACCAACCTTAAAAAACAGCTGACCTCACAGACTCAACAAGAGAGAAACATGTATGAAAAGATGGTTGGAGGACTGATAGAAGAGGATAAAAACACATCAAAAAGCTCAGTAAGTAGGAACTAAAGGACAAGGCCAAAACAATTGGCCACAGGATTTTTAGTGAGAAGGGGAGGGGTATTAGTTTTATATAAAATGGCAATATTAAATGACTAGAAATAAGAATAGAAATAAAGAAATGAAAAATGATCAAATCAAGAAACATTTAAAATAAAAAGCGGGAAACAAAATGAGAAATGAAAATCTGGATGAGAAATGAAAACAATTGAGAAAGTGTAATGGAAATTTGCTTGATATAATGTTCCAGATTATTAAGGATTTATGTTGTATTTTTCAGATGTTGCCATGGTCATTAGTATTTGGTGCCGCAGTTGTTGTGTTGGGTGGCATTGTAGCAGCGCTGTATGTTAGTAAGCACTAGGTAGCTTTTACAGTTACACTTTGGCTTCTCTACACTTTGTCACTTTGAAGATGCAATGCTGTTTATAAAGACTGCTATGGCCTTATTTCTAAACAATAGGGCTTGGTGATGCAACAATGATTTTGAAGTTGTAATTAGAAAATTGAATTGAAATATCTGATTTGAAATCTGGATTTGTTGCATCTTTTGTTGTCATTTAAATGATAATTTATTCATTACAATGAGATGATCTATTACCTTCTAAAACTGACATGTGACAAATATAATTTTACTAATTTATTAAAAAAAATTTCAAGATTGTAGAAATGTGTAAGACACATTTTGTTGCTTTATATAAGTACTGTATTTGAATAATAGTGCCTACCAAAAACTATCGAGCTGTTTTCCACCTTGTCAGATCCCAAAAGTGCAAAAGTTCTGGTCATAATACAGAAGATTTCACAGTATTGTTACCTGTTTTGGTATAAAAAGATATTAAAAAGATCTTTGAACACCATGTTTTTATTGTTTGTTTTTATTGTTTTTTTTTTGTTATCGTAAATATGACTATAGTTTACAAATTAAGACAAGTGAAATAAGAACGATTAACTACTGTTTTATATGAATATATGGGAGAGCAAACAAACTCCTTTTTAAACCCCTTCCCCCAGAATATGTCAATGGCCTCAATTCTAATATATTTAAATATGGTGTTATTGGATAAGCTGGAGGTCACTGCACTTTAACCTGTTTATCAAGAAGTACAACCTGTATGAGTAGAAGCATTGCAAAGTCTGTTTCTTTGTTACTCTTGAAAATCACAAGACGTTATCCTTTTAATCAATAACCAAACCATTTTTCCACTTGTTTGGGTTAATAGAAAATTCTGTTGGCATGGAAGAGAGGATGCATAAAAAGATAAAAACTATGAACTTTTTTTAATGAGTTTGTGTATTAAACTCTGTTGTATCCTTCTTGTTGATCTTCTTCTTCAGGTGCAAACTTCTCAACAAATTCACTCAACACTTGTCGTAAGTTCTCCATGTCTTCTAATGAACATGGCTGAACAACAAGGTAGTGATGGCGTTGCTCTGCATCCATGTTTAAAATCTCTTTAACCTAGGTATAACAACACAGCTTGTCAATTAAAGTCTGTAGTTTTAAAACAGCTGGAGTCCACACACAAATACTGCAAAATATATGATAAAGTTAACCACTATTTTGTAGTACTAGTTAGTAAGATTTGTTTTGAGTGCATTGAATTTTTAAACTGACCTTCTCGGCAGGCCTTGCACCTTTTATATTCTGCTTGTTTGCAAGTACCAGAACAGGAAGACTCTCTAAGGAGGGGTGGTTGAGTGCACTTTGTAGCTCACTGGCAGCAAGGTCAAGGTCATCTTCATTGCTAGTTGAGTCAACTACAAAGATCTGAAAAAGAACAGTACGTTGTTTTATGATTACAACTTGCATTTAGACATGACTATTAACTAAAAAATAATTCAACAGTATTTTCAGCATCTTTTACTTGTTTTTTAATGGTGATGAAGGTTTTATTAGTTGTTCAGTTTTCCTGATTGTTCAATTTTCTCAATTTTTGTGGGTTTTTTTGGTTTAGAAGCCTGCAATGCTGTGTCTTTTGGGGGGACTGGAGAAGCTCCCCTACCCCTCCTACTCAGAAAAAATATCCAGCTAAACACCCTATAATTTCAGGTAATGAAAATGAAATGAAGACATACCACACCCTCTGCGCCAGTGTAGTAATGTTTCCAGTATCCCCTGACATCCTCTCCACCTAAGATATAATATTCATTATACACATAATAGCCAATTTGCATTATGGCATCATTTACTACAACTACCAGAATGCTTTGCCAACTTTCTTTTGTATTGCAATTAGTGCCAATTGTTTTATTGATCTCCAAGGAGATTAAAAATCTGAATAACAATGAACTAGGCTCTCTGGTAGTTGTAGWAAAGTTACACCATAATGCAAATGRCCTATTATTATTAATTATAATCTATTGTGACATGTTCATTGCTATTTTTAGTAGCTTCTCACCRCCAAGTTCTTTGACATTCAATATGACTTTAGGTAACTGAACAGCTTTTACTGAAAAACCTGGAAAACAGAAGAAAATTCATAGAATCARCTGTGCATAATGATTGAATCCTCCTTTTCTCRGCTGCCYAATTACTAGAGYCTTGCACTGAGTTCTCAATCTCTAACCTTTCGTTGGCTGGATATCATCCAAGGACTCTGAACCAAGTTTTGCAAGAAGAACAGATTTTCCTGCTKTACTGAGTCCAAGCATGAGAACAGAATGTGTTGGTCTGTACACATCTGGTTTTTTGCCTTTGACAACTTGACAGCACTGGATTTGGTCAAAAAAATTGTTTTKCATTAAAATATGATTATACAGGATTGATATAACTGTGAGTGTTCACTAACAAGAGATAAAGGAAATTTTTATCAAAATCTAATTTACGATAATGCTATAGACCACATCAGACATCACCAGGGTAACACAATTGTTATATCAACAAATCCAAACACAAATAACTTGACAAAGTAAGCCAAGATCTTACCTTAAAGCAAAGAAAGCGACAGAAAAAGGACACATAGCCACAACACTCACACTTAGAGCTCATTTTTGTCTATTTTTCTATCGTTTCATTGCTGTTTTAAAGCAAAATTGGTTGTCACTTTTCAAAATGTCATTTTACCCGCCATCTTGGATACTGTGAAGGCTTGGAGCCAAGTTAGTCACATGATTCAACACCAGACCTTCTGTCGGAAGTAGCTTGAAGTTGGYAGTGTGCAGTACGAAAAGTGTAGAATTTTGCTTCGTAAAAAGGCAGTCATTTACCCGTGTTTTCACAAATACACTTTATTTGGCAGACTATTACATTGTCAAGAAACATGTCATTAGCTGGGTTCAAGAAACAAATAAACAAAGCCAACCAGGTGAGCTAATATAGCAGTARGCAAACCGGTCGAATATTCGTGCAGCATGCTGGCATGAACACTACACTACTACTTACTAAGTTGTACGTTTTGTATTGCTTTTATATCAATACCCTACTGAATAATTCTGTAGTCTATTGTATCTATTGACATATAACTTGTTTTTACTCTTTTCTTCTATTGTCAGTTTATGAGCGAGAAGATCGGGAGTGCAAAAGGATCTAAGTTAGATGATGATTTTATCGAGTTAGAGCGGGTATGTTCAGCTTACTCTGGTTTTGTTTTGTTTTTAAAACAAGACCCTTAAAATTTGATCTTTAATCTCACGTCGTTATACATAAAGATTGATGACTAATTGCAAGCTGGACGCGTAAAGTAGTTTCTAATCGATCAGTTCGTAAGGGYTATTTTAATCCAATAATGTAATGGGCACTGGAGGTATTTGAATACTCTCTCATAGATTATAGSATRGGTGTTTGKRCAGCATATAWTATGTACACTTTGCATGGGCTAACAAAACAAAATTATAATTAGACAAKACGTGYTAGAATTTCAGTTGCCATTCTTTTCTTTTGCACACATTTTRATACAACTGGGATTCATTCATCGTAAAGTTTTACCTCAATTATACACTTAGCTTACTCAATCATTTTATGGTTGAGTAAACTTGATATTAAATTTATGCTTTCTAAGCGTGTCAGTTCATGCAAATATAGTTTTTAACATTATTACAATTTCATTTTTCATTTATAYTTTTTACCATAAAAGGGGAAAAATGATTGTGGGATATTTAATCCAATTCAATTATCATAACAAGCATGATATTCTATAAAAATGGTTTTGTCTTCCAAAATAATCATTTTTTTTTTTTTCAAAGTAAAATGAACAGTTTCACTTTCAGCATATATTGCTAGAAACTAAAAGTTTTCAATCGCTAAAATGATTTGTAATGTAACATGTTATTGATTAACCACAACCAACTTTATGGCACAAAGCCCAAAGTATATTTTTATATCAAGTCCTATTAGAATTCTTGAATTTTGGTAGTTCTTATCACCTTCTTTTAAAGGAGATTTCATTGTTTCATCAGCCCAGTAGGGTAGTAGTTGTCAGYCAAAAATRCTAAAGTGTTCTTAAGGATTATACCCAAAGTTTAARYTGGGTTTATTCAGTCTGTATGCTTTTCAATATTTGCCAAAAACATAACAAATGTTAGAGCAAAATGGCTTATCATTGACATAATTGCAGGCATGTTAGATTGACAAATATTTTCACATATTCAATTAATTCTATCCCCTTGAGATAAGTTATTTAATATTTTGTTGACCAGTTTATCATACTTTCAAAGTACTTCAAAGATTTAGTTTCCTTCAGTATAAATCTTTTCAAATTTACTCTTTGCATAAAATTAATTTGTTCGAACACAGTATTTCACTTTTACTTTTTGTTCATATTATATATTTGTTTGAATCCTACAGAAAACTGATGTGACTGCAAAATTGGTTGAAGATGTATTACACAGAACCAAAGAATATTTACAACCTAACCCAAGTAATTTAGATATTCTTCAAACCACTTTCACATTCATTTTGTACTTTTAGAAAATGTCACATTTGTCATTTTGTTCATATGTTTTTTGTTTGTTTATTTTTGTGATGGGATTCAACCATTTTACAATATCTAAGGATTTTAGATTGAGATTATTATTTCTTTCTTTCTCCAGCTGCCCGTGCAAAGCTTTCTATGCAGGGTGCAGTACAGAAGGTCCGTGGCGAAGTACAAGCATCAAGGTATCCTCAGCCAGAAGCAACATTAGGTGAAACTATGGTGAAAGGAGGTCAAGAACTTGGGTATGAGTCAGAATTTGGTAAGATATAGTTACTACGCTGATTTAAAATCATTACATAATCATATATAGTAGCAATCATGATCATTGTCATAGTCATGAACACTGTCGCAATCATAATCACAAGCATTGTCACATTCATACTTATAATCATAGTCATGTGATCATTRCTACTAGTACAATTATGGGACCAAWCAAAGGACATCTTTAGGTGGAAACMAAAAAAAAACGTGAAAATACAATTCATCTTGTTTTATGTTAGGTCAAGCCATTGGCTGTGTAGGAGAGACATTTCATCAATTAGCAGAAGTYAAAGACTCCTTAGATAATTCAGTAAAGCAATCTTTCTTGGACCCCTTGGCTTTGTTGGAATCTAAAGACATTAAGGAGATCATGGTTAGTAATGAAATATGTGCTTTACAAAAGTCTGTATGGGATTTCCTTCCCCAAACAGGCTGGGACTGTATTTGTTATAATTGCAATTCCAGCCACATTTTTTCTAGTTTGTTGTTTTTACAAAATCAAACTTTAAATGTTTGCTATCACTTAAATTTGTAGCATCACCGCAAAAAGCTTCAAGGAAGGAGACTGGACTTTGATTGTAAAAAGAGGAAAGGAAGCAAAGGTTAGTAATTGCTTTTTCTTTGTCATGGTTTACTAGAAATTACAAAATGAAATCTCTGTGTTTTCCATCACTGRAAGTTTTACCAGTATTGTCTTCTTTACGGTTCCCTGTGCCATCTTGAAAGGTAGCCATGCCTTTGCATCAAGACAAGACAACTGTTGAGCGTGCAATGATCAAAACCTTCTTCACACTTACAGACAATTATTCACAGATGTCTATCATTGCACGCTCAATGGTTGTCTCGCTTCAATGTAAAGGCACGCTTACCTCTCAAGATGGCACACTTAACCGTGAAAGAGACTATTGCTAAGGTATTTTACATGCAATAAGTTGTATGCAACAGTGTTTGAATACGTTTTGCTGTTGTTTTCATGGGAATGTTTTAACTTGCTGTCAAAACACAACAATTTTAGCAATTTTTTTGCTGTAATCATGTATACTCTAGTTCCAGCAGAGGAGTTAAGAATAGCAGAAGAGAAGTTTGAAGAATCTAAGGAGTTAGCATACAATAGTATGATGAACCTCTTGGAGAGTGATGTAAGTAGCCTGTATACTGATGTCATGACTGACTRATTGATTGATTTACTTATTGATTGACTAATTTACTGACTGACTGACAGATTGGTGCCTTATAAAGAAATCTTGAATGACTGATAATTCTTAAATGTCTATTTTACAGGTGGAACAGATAAGTCAACTGTCAGCTTTAGCAGAAGCAGTCCTAGATTACCATAACCAATGTTCTTCTATTATGGAAAATTTAGTGTCAAAACTCCAGGAGAAGTAAGGAATTTTGTATTTGATCTGTTTCAATTTCAATGTTGTATGGTCTTAAAAGCCTTGTTCCAAAGAGAGTGACATAATGTAGATACATAATCATGAGCAAATGAACATTTTTCATTCAATACGCTTATGTTTGTGTCTATGTTTATGTCACCAAGGTCACTTTGTCTGTCATTGTTACCAATAAACGATAAACATAGACATAAGCATAGTTGTATCATAAAATATAGACCTTATGCTTGTGTTTATGTTACTGGGTGAACCATGCTTTAATAAACTGAWTCTTTGATCTTTTGACCAGCTTTTGAGCCAATAAAAATTGTCACTTTTGAATAGGTTGACTGAAGCTGCCAACAGACCACCAAGTGAAAGACCAAAGATTACACCAAAATATGATGATGGTGATAGTACAAGCACGGGCAGTGGAGGCATGGCTTCTAATGTGACCACACCCTCTCCACCACCCCAGCCAGCAATGCAACACAATAAAAACCAATACAAGGCTTTATATGATTTTGAACCTGGTGAGTTTTTCTAACTTCAATCATGCTGTCTAGTCAAATAATGTTTAGTTGTGGTGTAATGCATTTATCAAAACTCTTTCTAAATTTCAGAGAATGATGGTGAACTTGGATTCAATGAGGGTGATGTAATAACTGTTACTGAAAGAGTTGATGAGAATTGGTTTGAAGGGACATTTAATGGACGTACTGGCCTCTTTCCTTCTAACTATGTTGAGCCACTGTAAAACATGTCAAGTTTAATCATAATCACTACATAGAACAAGAAGAATTTATTTAGGACAACAAGGGTTTTCTTTCTATTTTTGGTGTGGTGGAGATATCAAATGTAGATCATATAYATTGTGCACTTTGCCTCATACACACCAGTTGGGCTTCCTTTGGTAGTAACACAGGAATCCTATGCAAAAAGTTGCTTTTGAAGTATTGCCATTTGTTAGAGTTTCTTAAGTCCAAAAAGGTGACTATAACTGGAATACTTTAATAGAACTTTCTTTTCATACAAATTTGATATAAGACACCGCATTATTTCAATGCCTGCCTTTGCAGGCACTTATGGATAAATGTCTACAGAGGAGTATACCAAAATCATTAGTTGTCATATTGACAGGGAAATAATCACATAGAAGTAGAAATACAAACACTAAAAGAGTATAACACAAATCAAAAATAATAAAAACAATTCAATAAGATAATGTTTCTGTTACATGTAAGTGCWAGAGTCACAGGTTTTCACCATTTARCATCAAAATCYTTGCTTATTTAGTGTGCCTTTATGCTAGAATAACATGAAGTTAGTTTTTCCACCTTAWTGTTTTAGTGGTTTGCAGCAAGGCTAGTTAAAATGGTTAGGCAAGTSTGGCAAGAGCAGATGGATTTCTAAGGTTTTTTTAAACTCATGAAATTGTTTAAAATATCCTGTCAGTATTCATCAGTATTGTAATATATCACGTAAATAAATAGTGTATTCGTGCCAATGTAATGTTTATATTGTATTCGCAATTATATGGGATTTTGATGGTTGATCTCTTTTTTCCTTTGAAATTGTTATCTGAACATTGCGTAAATTTTTCGTTGACCACTTATATKTTTATGCTTGCGCAAATATATGAATTAGTTTATTCCATTCATTTTCGTTCTCATTTATTCTTATTTTGAATTTAAGCAGAAAAATGTGGGTTTCCTGTGTTCCCATGATGCCTTGCGATTGCGATTTTCAAAATGGCGTCCTTGTTTCTCACTCGTTCAGTTCGYCCAGCTTTTACTGTATTTTTGCGACCGTTTTTGACTTCTTCTTCAGCTTACTCAGCATCAAGTGGTGAAATAGTTATCGATAAAACTGATAAATCAGTCGATACTACTGGAGATGATCAACAAGTAAGTATTTTGTATTGTAAAATATAGAGCTCCCAATTTCGTTCGTAGTTGCTCTGTCTCTTCTGTTCTGATATATGAACTGTTCCTTTTGTAGACAGGGATAGCAATCTTAAACGGCATTCCAGAATGGCATTTAAAAAACCGTACAGCGAGGATATTTTTTCCATCCAAGAATGCAATGCAGTCAGGAACACAGAGCTTTCAAAACTGGCGACTTGAATTTGAAAACATGGAAAGATGGGAAAATCCTTTGATGGGCTGGGCATCAACGTAAATATCTGACTAATTGTATCTTTCACCACTATTAGTAACCATGTATATAATACTCCTTTTAATAGTTACCTTTGCCATCCTGAGTTGGCACAGGGGACTTGAGGTTAATTTTATGGGTTCAATGGTAAGGTATATTAGACTTTTATTAATGACAATATTGGTCTCTAGGGGTGATCCTTTGTCTAATATGACTCTTGATTTCACAAGTAAAGAGGAAGCCATTGCTTTTGCAGAGAGCCATGGTGAGTAAACAGAAGTATCCTTTAGAGATGTGGATAGTTTTTTTAATTATATTTTTATTGAAAATTGTCTTTGTAGGATTTAAATATGAATTAGAGGAAAAACAGGAGAAGAAGATCATACCAAAATCGTATGGAGCAAATTTTTCCTGGAATAAAAACACTCGGGTTTCTACCAAGTAACTTTTCTTCATTGAAAGATTATTATTGATAATGATTATGTAAATACGTGTATCACAATGGCTAGTGCTTTGACTATTGATATTAAAAGAGTTCGTTTTAACGATTTAGTTTCTTGAGATTCAATTGAATTTTTTATTTCTTCAATAAGGTGTTGTTTTTGAATATATTTTCTTTTCTTTTCTGCATTAGTTAAGAAATCACTTGTTCACAATTTATTCTTCAATCTCCTATTATTTTTTTCTCCATTTTATTTGTTCATCCTCTTTTTCATCCATTCACATGTTCATTTTCCCACTCACTCAGTTATTCATTCTTTTTTCGAATCATTCATTTATCTGTTTATTCTTTCATTTGCCCATGCATTTTGTCATTTTATTTTTCATACATTCAAAGACTAATTAGGYAATATTATTTCAACTTTTATTATATAAATAAAGCATCTAAAATGTGCTATGCATTGATGTCCTGCCATARTATTGAATTGAATTCAATGATTTTAGTCCAATTATATATTCATCTATTTCAATCTCTGCAGACATTGTTCCTACAGTGTTAAGGATGCACAAATGCAACATTACTATAAAAACTAAACAACTTTGTTGCTTTTCCCCTTTTTAAATTATCCATGGGTAAAAATGCGAACAAGCACCTTTTAAACATAGCAATTATTGTCTGGAATACTTTGTTCTGAGTCAATGAGTAGTTGCTATGGTGATATTACACAGGATACCCAACCTGTGTCAACCTGTCAACCTATGAGAGTTTTTAGTCTCCTCTAGCAGCCGTTTGGCTCTTTCCCATGTTAAGGTAATGAGACCACGTCTGGGAGACGAGACAGTTTTCTGTGACAGAGATTGGACACTTTKAGTTTTTGCCATTAGTGTCCAATGCCTATAATCCTTTTGCAGAATATTTTCTGTCAATTTCTACCATGGCAGCCAATACAATGGGATAATCCTAAATAATCCTTCTAAAATCTTTTCTCTAAAAAACATGCAGTGTTTCCCGTCCATTCAGCACTTAGTAACGACCAATATCGATAAAGATGTAAACGCGATCACACATAGCCAGTTTGATGTTAATTCTGAGCTGGTGTTCTTCTTTTCTGGTTTGTCCATAAATAACTTTGTTTCAGTATCTTCTTCTGCTATTGGTGCTAAAGCTACCAGTGCAGCGGTAATGTTGTGCTTGGCATGCGTGGTTTGTTTMTTAGACAGGAAGAGAATCAGCGCGAGTATGACAAGCACGAGTATTCTTCGTGCTGTCATCGCTTCGTTAGCTAGCGGGACCTAAACCAAAAAGACATTGTTATGAAATTCAACGATTTTGTGCATTCTTTGTTTGTTTGTTTTCAAATTTTCTTAGGGGTGTGAGAGGGTTGACTCCACCCATGACCGTCTGGTGAAATTGGTAATGATTTTCAAAGCTGATTTGTGATTGGTGTATTTCATTTTCTATCCTGTGATTATTTTATAGACAATCAAGGAAAATTTTGGAATTTTCATGGAGATTYAGTCAGTCGTATATCACGCTTCGACGCCCTTTGTAGAGTTTAAATTGCTCTATTGAACTATGAAATCATTGTCCATTGATTCRACAATTACAAACGTTTGGCATAAAATTTTGTATAAAAATTATTGAGACATTTAGAAACGTAGCAAACGATGTTGAATTGAACACTTCATGTTTTGAAACTTGTTAAGCGCTCTCCAAACYAATGGTACATAAGATAGACAAGCGTCATGCATGCAATCAGAAGTGACAAAATCTACTTTTTTTCAATGTCAACAGGTATTTAGACGGTTGGTTTGACAGCCTCAAAAATTGAACTTGAAGCTGGAGATTTTTAATAAGACAGCGGATAAATATGGCAAAAAAGGATCGACAAATAATTTTGAATTAGAATTCAGGGGTTGAAATGACCATGACGTCAGAATGTGTTTATAATACAGAGCGGTAGACTCTATTATCTAAGTCCAGTTGAAATCTAGTGTTTACAACTTTTCGTTAGCCGCATAAAACAAGATTTGATACATTCCAAAACTTGAAATAAACTGTTTCAGCGAATTATTAARATACTTACTTGCTTTTGTTCTTCCAATAATCAAAGGCAGTTTTATCGTTTTTCTTCCTTTTTGACTGAAATCCGTGAACCTTTCGATCAAACGTGTACCTTTATTTCATTATTTATATTCCAAAAGTCAATCCACCAATCAGGACACTCGGTGATTTTCGCGCTTCCTGATGATCCTTTGGAGCGTTGGCACCATGACATCACAGCTAAAAATATCTTTTCAGTGATGTAATGGAAGAATGGATGGATGGACTTGAAATGGGAATTTCTAAAAACACATAYTGACCAACGAATGTTAGCAGGGCTAGCGCGTGCTACTAAAATGGAAACGGCCAAGTATACAACACGGTAACTTATTTTTTAAAGAAATTCAATTGGAGTTTTGTTAAAACAATATTGTCATAATTGTAATTATTAGCAGTTGATTTTTGTACTTTACATCAGTTTTTGCATTAATATTTATTACTTGCTTTGCTTTTTTCTTCATCAGACAGATGAATTTGTCTAAATAGATGAAGGTTTAGAAAATTTGATAAATTTTGAAACGAAATATGCAAAATACAGTGTTGAAACGTAACATGTGTTATTCAGTATTTTACTAGTAAAGTTGAATATTTGTGACACTTTATGAAATTTACATTTTTTTCTCGACAGAAAACACTGACAGAAAATTATATATGCACAGTGCTAAATGTTCAAAATCAGCGAATCTTCGCGAATCGACGTAAACAGAGAATGCTAGAGAAAGTTTTGAAAGTTCGGTTTCATTTCCCAGAAGCGCACGTGTTTTCGAACCCAATCCCTTCTCAGCCAGCGCATCGCCATGTTGTGGAAACGCAACTACGAAACTCAAYGTGAATTTTCGAGTTTATTTTGAATTTTATCTGAAAGTTTACATAGATTAAGAATACTTCTGTATGTGAAAGTGGCCTTAGAGGTAAGTTTGTAACCTTAATGTCTATAAAACGCTTCGTTCAGTGCAGTTCTGGACAAAAATGGCCGGTCTGCTGCTGTCCAAACTTGCTCTTTTTAAGCATGCAAAAACATTTTCGACATCTTACTGTGCGGTTATTATTAGTGGTTTTTGTTTCATTTTAAATGATCTTTTATATATTAGCTTTATCGTGAATTTTATTTCTTGTCCAAGTTTCTTGTACAATGTACACATTAAGCTCAAGAACAGCTGTAAAAGCAATAGGGAAATAATTGCATTCACTAAAACACTTTGCATCCTTAGTTTACTCTCAGCAGTTATATTCTATCAAAACTGTACTTTTGAAGAGATTTTTGGGATTATGAATATCCATGTTTTCTGTGTGACTGAGGCAGTTGCATGACAAGAAATTGGCCTGAGGAGACTTGACATATCACGCAATCTCGACCGCTATAAATAGCTTTAATTTCCGCATGTGTTGTCTTGTGTTGTTATTACTTTATGCAAAGGAAGTGGTAAACTATTTGTGTTGTTTGTATATTAGCTTCAAAATGGCAACTTCAATTCCAGCTCTTGGTAACCCTTTACAAGACAAAGACAATTTTCCTCCATTTTCCTACGTTCCAAGTGAAAATGAGATCGATGAGAATTTCTACTATACAGAAGATGGATGTAGTTACAGGCATAAACAYCACTGGTGCTTCATTGGTGAAATTACARATGATGAACACTCGCAACTCAAGTATTTCCGAAACAGAATCTTGGTGAAAGATCTTAAAGGTGAAAGTGACATTCCAATTGCCTTTTACCCTGACCCACCTGATAGTCGTGAATTCTTCGATTTTACTGAACTTAAAAAAGGCTATACAGTGTGTATACGTTATGCTGAGAAACACTTTTTTTGTGATATGACATGCGGATTTCGTGTGGARTGCCTTCCTTATGTAAAAGTCATCAAGTGYTCTCTTGATACTCTTCGTATGATCTCAGCTCAGGATCCAACAAATCGTCCTAAACTTTGCTGGACCTGTGGMGCAAACCAGAGCAAATATGGGCTCAAACTGTTGTCATGCCAACGATGTAAACTTGCAAAGTATTGTGGGAGAGATTGCCAGAAAAGCAATTGGAAATATCATAAAAAGTTATGCGAGTACATTCCTGACTACGCCATTCTTGTGAGCCTGGCTGATAGGGTGTTTACTAAATACATACCATTTGAAGATTATTGACTTTTCTCAATACAAAGCTGCTTTTGTAAGCATGTATTTGTGGTTCTATGACCTAAAGGGTTTGATATTAACAGAAGTGTAGTTTTTTCATGGAGCTGTAGACTAAAAATTCACAGTTAAAGCATTAAAAGGTGACAAAAGGAAAGCTTGGACTGATTCAACTACCATAGTATTTAATTCTACAGGCAGTCTAGCACTCATCTTGCATTCTGTTTACGCACTCAGCAAGATGATTGAGTATTGACACACCAAATGACAAAAACAAGTGCACAAACTACTGTGATGGCCGAGTTTCACTTCATGTTTCTATTTTCAGTTTGGTTGGGCTGCCTGTGGTATACTGGTTGTCATAGAGCTTATCTGTACTTTGTTGTTTTGCTATGCTATAGATTGGATGGTTTCACTAATTTAGCGAAATATTCTACGTTGCTGTGCAAAATGTAATGTTTTTCTGATATTTCAGTCATACGTTGTGACATTTAATGTTGGGGCGTTTAATGGCAAGTTCACAGTATTGTATATATTATAAACACAAATATCCAAAAACTCTTTTTTTACATCTATGAAATCACATCGACTGAAAATTATGTTTTTACTAACATTGTGAAGTTTTTTCCTCAGAGTTATTTTGACGGTAGTCAGTGGCGCTCGCGAGAAACAAKGTCACGTGATTTGTCAGTGCAAGTAACGGAAAGTGATGTTATGTTTTCAAACCCAACCTGCAGCCAATAACAAATAAACTTTGTTTTCCGATAATATTGACCTCAAACTAAGTAGRAGAAATGTCAAATAAAAGTATTTCTTTTACTCTTTTCGAGTATTATTGGCATCGTTTTGCCTTTAAAATCAAGTCTCTGTTGGCACTTATACTTTTAGTGTTCACTAATTTCGTTTTTCAATACCTATTATGTGAGTATAGTCGTCGATTGATACACCGGTGTTTGTATTATTGCAACTGCCATTGGCATCATGTAATAGCTTTATTAGGAACTTGATCTGACCACGTTAGTGACCTTCCGATCAGAAGCAAGTCTTTATCTAGCATTTGTCTCGTTGTTTAGCCAACTTTCTACGCCCATCCAGTTGTTGAGGTAAGTCTAAGGACCACTAATGTGCATTAGGGAAACTTGATTTAGAACTGCTGAAAAATGGGCGTTGGATTTGATTAGGACTTCAAATTGAACATCCTTTTCAAGTGTTTTCCTCTCATCTCTTCCGAGATYAGTCACTGACGTGCCAAAACCTTTCATTTGAAATCATTTCCCTCTTCAATTCAACTTCAAAATATTCAACAGCTTTTGAAAAAGACGTGCGATGTCATGCATGGATCGGTGGCGGTCTCAAGATCGCTGTTCATGCGGTTGTGACGTCGGCTGGTTGTTTGCCTGTCGTGTTTGTCAACAAACAAAAAATATTGTTGTTTAGCGAGAAATACGAGCAGGTCTTTTTCATTCATGTTGAGATTTCTCTGTGATTTCGAACAATGGTCGAACGACTGGTACCAGTGTGGTACCTTGAATCTAATAACCAACTTGATATCAACGACAACGACAAATTGCCCTCGTAAAAATTAAATCTAAATTGCAATACTTTGGGCTTGATAAATAAACAAATTCATTACATTGACAGKAGATGGCAACTCGTTTTATATCTTTTCACTTTCAAAACTTTTTCATTTGGTGTGTTTTGTTTGAGAGKAATAGTGCGAGTTGGTATTTGATGCCATGTCAGCCAATAGTAGATCACTGTAGGTGTTAATAAATCATTAGATTCACCTCGTCCGCGATTCTTTTGGCTACTGGCTTCCTTGTCTTAATGGATAGAAGCAGTTTATGAAAGTTGATATTACCTCGAGTCGATTTCCCACTGGGACTATTYAATTCCCATTCTTAACCGCCCCTCTGACCATCCATAGGAGCTGCTATTGCCACGAACATCATGAAATCATTGATCATAGCTGCCTTTTGTCTGACCATATTGGTACAAGAATTGGCCGGAGCACCAGTGAATACTGACTACAAAAACGACAAAAAACAACTTGTCCCTGGAACGGTAACATCGTATGGTCAAACAGAAGTCACACCGCCTTCATTTCCCAGTAACTACAACGCTAATGGAGGGGCATCATACGCTGACCCTTGTGTGAACACAGGATATAACACTGGATCGTACAATACTGGATACGGCAATACAGGGTATAACAGCATGGGGATCCCATGTAGCACTACTTACGGCGCGCAGGACGGAGATGTATTTAACAGACCGGTAGAGTTAGTTGCAGTAAAGGAYTTTCATGTCAAAAATGGCAAAGTTGTCCCACCTACAAACATCGTTCAAGGATAAATTGACTAGTTATTGGTAAGTATGTCCAGGAATARTAAGAAACAATATTTTCATATTCATGAATTTACTTATCAAAATAAGGTTTTGATGAGTGAGTTTTTGGTTATTTTATCTGATATAGCTATYCCGCAGTAAACCTTTTAAAGGAAGTAAAAATGATAGAAAGTTTTACGTCACAAAATCATAATTGCGCGTTCAATCTTCAGTTCGTTCTGTKAAAGATAGGATCCGTCATTTCTAAGGTTGATAAATGTTAGAAGCAGTTTTCATGACATCGTCATTGAAACCTGAATCTGACAATTAATGTGAATCATAGAGTCTTTCAAATCTAATATCCTTACAGCAGACSCTTCAATAAAGCTAAAACCACGGAAAGTGTCGAGATGCGCTAATTTAAAGTCTTAGGAATAAGAAATTGAAGATTTTCTTATCAGGGAAACTGAGAAATTGAGAAAAAATAGTTTTAGCAGATGTAAACGTTGATATGAGAATCCTAACTTTCTGATTAATGATATGAAAAACTTTCTTTTAAAGAAAACAACGTAGTTAAAAGTGAAACGTCTAGTTGTTGTACGTTGGCTTCCATGGTCAATTAACCATAACGCCTTTYAGAGAAGATGGGAAGTTCAAGGGAAAAAGAGATGTGATAGAAATTCTATTTCAACTATTTCCTCTCAGTTTGTAATTTAAAAAATTTACACGAATGTAAACTCGACGGTCCAACACCTTGCGTGCAGGCATACAGTCGTTCCCGGCATGATACTTTCAAGCAAAAATCAATATTTTTGCCTTATTTTGCAGGTATGAAAACACACGTTTCATTGGATTTGAACGCTTGCGTGGAAAAATCATAATATTATTAAAAACCTTATCCGTTTCCTTATAAGTGGAACGAAAAATGACATTCGTGGATGGAAAATAACTGAACARCGAACCAACAATGATATGGACAACAGAATGGTTTACTTGCCCAGAAGACAATCGACTTTTTGGGTGTATTTTTGTAGATATTTACATTATAAAGTAAGATGTAATAATTGTAACCTGTACATTACTTGTATAATCACAAGTTTAATCGGTTAGTTTAGTTTTTAGCTATAAAGTTGTCTATTTTTGATGATATTTCTTTCAACTTCWGTCTCGCATAGTGTAACTTTGTAATGCTTTTCGGGCGCTCAGCAAAAGATTTGTAGGGAAAATGTATTCAGATATATTTTTATATAATTTTTCTACTAAAAATCAGTCATATTACACGTTTTTGTGCTGTTTTAAAGCTTTCCATCACAGATACCACAAGATGGTACATCTGGAAACATGGCGCCGAAAAGCATGACRRGAATTTTCTCTGGTCACTATTACAAAATGCGTTGAAGTTGTCGAAAGTGTGACTAATATATTATGAAATGTATAAAAAGGCCTTTGGTAAATCTATCTACACTAAAATCAGTTGTTAGGATTTGTACATAAATACAGGAAAATAAATCTAGAAATTTATTGAGTCTTTTCAAGTCAACAAGAATCCCGCGAGTTCATCCCCACAGGAACCCCAACGCTTGGTATGTCAGTGGTGCAAGGTTTTGAGTGACTCCAGTAAATTAACAAATGTCTGGTTTTCATAAATTGTTGCAAAAACAGGAGATATTTTAACAGCTTCTTCTATTGGGAACCAGGCACACTCTTCATGGTTACCTGCCTTAACACTGGGAGACTGGTAACTAGATGATGATGGCATGTTTCYTAATGGAGTGTTGTTAGATTTATCTGCAAAATCAGACGAAAAAGAAATGTTTATTTTATTGTTTACATGCATTGATAGCACTTGAGTGCTGCTGACTCAATAGACCWGCCATCTTGAAAGAACCATTTACCATTCCTAGTACAGGTAATTTAGTATTATTTATTCAAAGATTGAGTGCTATTTCTGGGAACTACGGATAACTTGGACATGAAATTGAAAGAACACTGGATACAGAAAACTTGAAAACTTAAATAAGAAGACTAAATAGAAACATAAAAGCAAAGTTACTGATTTCTTACCAAAGTGTTCTTCATCATCAGATTGTGATCTTTTCCTCTTTTTCCCTCTCTGTTCATGCATTTCAGAGTTTGTGTTAGGATTCCCCTCACTAGCTGGTTCAACAAATTCTTTTAGTTCTTGGTCTTTATTACACTGCAACACTTTTTTGGGGTTCTTCTCAGTATCATTGACACCTGGAGGATTTCCCTGCACATTACTTGGCAACTCTGTATTTAATGGTGTGGTTTTAGTCACTGGTGATGATGACGATGATGATGACGATGATGAAGTGTAAAGATCGTCTAACACAAAAAATGTTGGCTCGTTTCCTTCTGTTTTMTTTGGTTTGGTTGCTTTTCCTGAGTTAGGATCTTGATTRGCAAGAAGTTCTGATAGTGACACAGGCTCCATTTGAATGTCACTCATCTCACTTTTATCAGGAGTTTGATCTGATTCCATGCTTGAGTCATGAGAATCCAAAACAAAAAATGTTGGCTCATTTTTTGGCATTTTCTCCACGTTGTTTGCTTTTACTGAATCTGGGTCTTCTGTTGCAAGAAGCTCTGATAGTGATACAGGTTTCATATTGATGTCAATACCAGGCACTTGACTTTGCTCCACTCTTGGATCATGGATATTCTTGTAAACATAAACAAAATAGCGAGACAGATCACCTGTTGAATGTCAAAACATGGATCACTGTAGTAAATGTACTAAGGGTTTCACTGATTGCTTGCTGGTTTGTAGTCTTCCATTAACCAAACAAAGACCACAAAGAGCCTGTTCTACTGGACATTTTCACTCCTGTACCTACCCTTGTGAGGATTAAGATTGTCATCCTGTCGTAAATCTATATATGGTGCTCCCTCTAAATCATCAGGATACAACTGAAGACCAGTTTCTTCACATAATTCTCTTGCTGCACATTCCATTGGTTTTTCAATATGAAGACCTACCAGGAAAAGATCATTCATTTTTCTAAATAAAGTCATAATAACAGTACATTTTCCAATCATAATGGAGAGTTTACCTACAATGAAAGGCTTACAATAGAGTTTGTACCTGTTGTTAACATTCTGTGTCTAAAATTCCCCTTTGGCAAACTCCAGGGGTGGTTCTCAAAATCTGTTATGTTGATACCAATGGCATTGCGATGTGAAAGCTCCTGTTGGGCCCTTGCCTACAACAATGATATTTTAATAATTTATTGAAGATAACAATAATAAATCATAATTAATATAATGCTCATACCACAAAAATAATATTTTTCAAAGATAAATGATATTTAAAAGTTGATGTTTTCTTTCAAAAAAAGACTCTTAAACATACTTGCAGTTCTTGCAAATCTCTTGGCAATGGAGGTTCCAAGACTGCACCCCATTGTTCTTTAAACTTCCACATTGATGARAAGACTTGTTTGATTGAATTTGCTGTCATTATTGATATGGCAACRACTTCATCCAGCCTCCAAGTATCAATGTGCTTTGTAAGACTATTAACAGGAAGGGACACAGGGYTMCCACTCAATGCTCTTCTGAAAAACTGAGCCATGGCTGCCTTGACATTAACAAAAGCTTGACTRACAAGGTATCTTTTGAGAAGGACCTCAACATGAGAACTGTGAATGAMAATTGAAAKGGCTACTTGGACGAAAATTGYGAAACATTAGAAAAGACTTGGGAATCAAATAGACCTATCCATATGGATGTAATAATCATGAAGCAACAGATTTMAAGAAAATATTCATGCAAATCCTTMATAATTTGGGCAAAAAATGTTGGAGTAGATGACGTCATCTACTCAATCCTTTTGTTCTTCCATCTTTTGAATCAAAATTTCTCTGAAGTGGGATAATTCCAAGACAAATATTTTCCYGCAATTGTTTTTAATAGATATAAATGAGTCATATATTTGTATTGCTTGAAGTTTTGAAATRAGGCCATTTTCATGCAAGTAGCACTTGAAATTATTAGTACTCTGACTGTAAAAATACAACATTAAGTCATAATGCCTACCTGTCTTTCAAACTTTGATGCAATGTAACAACGCCACAGCTTATCAATACTGGGTCAGGTTGTGCAGGAACTTCAATGTCAGCACACCTCTCAGCTTTTAAAACAAGTTTCCCTTGAGCTTCAACAATTTCAGCATCAAGACCAATAAGACGATATCCTGCCATGGCAACAAAAATATGTATGATTATTAATATTCTAAAAAATTCTGTAAGCTAGTGTCATATCTAAACTAACTTTTTGGTTTTGAAATTTCATTCTACTTTGATGTAATATTTTGATTTTCCAATGATGCCACCTCATGTCTAGATATTTTTGAAACTTGAGACTTTTTTCTCTGTTTTTGCATCTCATTCATGAAAACAAAGAATTTTGAAAATTTATGTACCTCATTATATTCATTTGGAACACAAGAAGCAGACATTTTTTTAATACAACAATGAMGTGCACATGCTATTTGTGGGCATCATCATGTTAAAATTGAGAAATAATATACARCTATGTCAAAAATATCCAGATTCATGTGGACAGGCCTCAGTCTTCCTGCTCYCTCTTTCCTGTAGCTGCTAAGACTAGTGTTGAAAACAAAGCAACATAAATCACCTGGTTCTAGCTTCTGATTCATCATCGTTCTTGTATTTAGTATTTCTAGTGAGTTCCCAGCCCTTGTACAGTACAAAACAAARGAGGTATCTTTGTTTCCAACCAAAGCAACATTCCCTTTCTCCTTCCAAATTTCACCAACACTGACAAAGTTAATGTGTCCWGCTTCTTTTTCCACTGACAGACTTTCCAGTTTGAGCTTTTTTGTTTGTCTTTCATCATTTTCTTGCAATCTTGGCATTTTYCTAATTTGATGACTACAAAAATATACAAAGTACAGAAGTTATCAAGGTGAAAATCAGACCTTTCTTCATTTCTCATGACAGAACAGAGGCTGGTAAGGATAGAATAAGAGTCAAGTTTGATAGAATATAGAAATTATATTGATCTATACTGTCCAGTGATCAATACAGCCTTTTGCAAAAATTATGAGAATTGTCGAAATATCTAAATATTATAATATCGAGTGAATGATGGGTGATCCCGTGCGATGCTCTTAGTCCCTTGTCTTTGTAGTTTAGTTTTTTTTTGGTGACGTACTTATCCGTAGCTCTGAACATTTTCTCGATGTCAACAATGAATTATTCTAGCAAACCCGCGTGCTCCGGACAATATATGGATATGGATATTATGATATTTAGATATTTAGACAATTCTCATAATTTTTGCAAAAGGCTGTAAAGCAAACAAATATTTTAATATTCATTAAAATGATTACATTTGTTCAAAAAGAGGCTGTAGTCTGATTATTTTTGCCATMATCCTTCCCTTCCCCTTTGGTTGTGATGCCAGTTTTTCTGGATCTTCAATACCAAGACTKATAAGGGCTTCTCTTGCTACTGCTTGTTCAGACTCTTTCTTGTTGGGAAATCCTTGACTGCTCTCAATGGTTTTTCCACTGAAGGTGACTTTTGACTTGAAGTACCCATYCTCTGAAAACCATTGATGAATGCTTCAAACAAATACTTTTGTCTAAAGTGACAATTTCTTCTTTTTTTTGTATTACCAGGGGAGGGGGGAGATTGACACCCCAAACATACTCAACTTGGTCTTTGCAAGCAAACCTTGACTCTGGGCTTCCTGTGGCAGTACAAATGGTTAGGGAGGGGGTAGGGAGAAATGAGGAGTTCTTTCATATTCCAAGCTTATTTCACTATAGTAATCACAACAAAGGAAGCCCAGCTGCAAGTCAGGCTGAACCCATGATCAAAATCACAAGCCAGGACTTAAACCCAGTAGTGGACTAAATGAGAGCATATACTATGATAAAATCTRGAAAAAGTGAGACCAATATAATCCTCCTTACCACTTTTAGTTTCATATTTGGGRTTTTCACCTCTTCTTCTTTGCTGTGTGTACTCTTGTAGTAGGTTCTTGTAGGATAATACATTAGGCGATTCTCCATCTGGGGTTSTTTTGCTACTAGAAACCTTAGTGTTTGACTGTGGAGTGCTGGGTGAGTCAGACTGGTTCACTGAAGAGCTCTGCTTCATGCTATCATGATTTTGCAAAGCTAACACAGCTTCAAGTGCAGCTGACTTCTCTGCTTCCTTCTTTAGTCTATGATAGCCTTTTGATTTATATTTCACATTATTGAATGTTAAAGTGCAGACAAAGCCACCATTTTCTATTGAGCTTTGATAGACTGGTAAGGTGAAATGGTGTCTAAGTGCATGCTCATTTAGTAAGCTTTTGGATGTGCCTAAAGTTGGAGTTAGACTGGTAGCTTTTGAATTGTTATTACTAGTAGGTTTTTGTTGTGGAGCTGTTTGAGGTGTAGCAGAGCTTGATGAATCAGGAGACATTTGACTTTCTTGAGAATCACTTATATGTAAGCTTATTTTAATATCTTTCATCTTCTCTTTCGTGTCAGGTAACTTTTCAACTTCTCTTGTGATGAAACCAGTAGAAGAAGGTGCCTCTTTATCTTTTGCAGGTGGCCTTAATAAGTGTTTTAGTGCCTGCTCTGCTGTATKTTGCTCTGCACTTTTCTTGCTTCCATGAATGCCTTGGCTTTCAAACACTTCTCCACTGTGAATTTGCAATGAGCAAGTGAACAAAGGAGTACCTTTTGAACACTTGGACTGCTTGGTGGAGTACTTTGGAAGAGATATTCGAAACTTCTGGCAATACTGATTCARAGTGCTYTTAAAATCTGACATATTTGAGATTAGTAAGCCTTTAACTAAARSCGGAATGATRTRAAAGCAGGCYTCATGAATCTGCGAGAAATCCCCAACTATCGTGAGATCTATACTCAAAATAACTCAGGTATATACTTCATGTGAGYAAACAAGAACTAACTCGAAAAGGAWACAAACACAAAAAATAACATCCATGAATTATATACCTCATTTGAAATCCGCTGTATTTTTACAGTGCAGGCTCATACAAGACGCCATTTTGTTGGAACACATGTCTMTTTTGGAGCTGGAAATTTTGACCTTGTTTTTAAATAAGAAAAACTTATATTGACAATGAGTAGAAAGCAAACCCCTAGTGACTTCTTAAAGCTGATAATTGGGCGTCCTGTTGTGGTGAAACTTAATAATGGAGTGGATTATAGAGGTAAAGTTATAGYCTCCACATGTCAAAATTTGCTCAACTTTTAACTGGATTTACAGTGGAACATAAACGAATACTGTAGCTTTTACTGGATCCTGCTGAAAAAAAACTTAACTTGTTTATATTTTGTATATGTTATGTAATGGATGAAGTTTAAGTTGACGTTTTTTCCTKCGACTACAGGAGTTTTGGCATGTCTTGATGGGTACATGAACATTGCTATGGAACAGACAGAAGAATATGTTAATGGTCAACTTAARAACAAATACGGCGATGCATTTATCAGAGGAAATAATGGTAATATAGCAATACTGCTTTGCATATTCAATCAGAACACTCAATTGTATTCCAGTCAAAAAACAACTGCAAAGAGTTTAGCAGTTTTGTTTTTTAAAAAGTGAGATTTGGGGTTCCTGTGTTAACTTATTCACAAACTGGATTTAGAGCTTTCATGTTTAAAGTATTAAATATCTTTTTATTTTGTTTTCTAAGTATTTTGTTTTTATGTTTTTTTACAGTTTTGTATATCAGTACACAGAGAACAACAAGAAGATGAAGAAGTAGTAAGAATGACTGTTTAGTTATTTTGTAAAAAGTATTGTGTAAAATAGCATATCTAACTTGCATCCAAAAGAAGAAAGATCTCTGGATCTTTATTTTGATAGAGTAATAATCCTTTCCTTTGATTTGTACAGAGCAGAACAGTAGTCTCATGTCAAATGACTTGTCYTGTAATCAACTGTGGAACTAAATCTTTAATAAACCTTCTATCTACAGTTTACTCAATCAGTTTTTGCTAAAACGAAGTTGCTCCTCAAGCTTCCTCAGAAATCACTCAGATCAGATAAATTTAAATCATGCCACAGGAATCCCAAGCAATGGTAAAAATTGAGGAGTTAGACTGGGACCCAGTAGATTCAAAGCATGCTTCAAATCAATTTGGAGATTTTTCTTCAAACACAAGTTTACTGACAGACAGAACACTTGTATTAAGTATCAAATATCAAAAGCTTTCTGAATTGGGCGTGTCACACGTACCCAGTTCTCACTTGTAGATAAGGGGGGTCATGGTATTTGGTGAATATATTTTCCATCAATTTAAAACATCATTACACTTGTTAAATTTGTGGAAAAACTTTTCTTGRTATGCACATCAAATTCCTAAAATGCTCTGTGTGGATTGCAGTGATCTTGACCCTCCTTATCCCTTGGTCTTATTACTTTGATAACAAAGTACCCTTGACAGAGGGCATAGCCGAGAGAGATAAATGTTTTTTGCCTGTCTATTACAAATATTTCATGAGTCAGCTTGCTCTATGAATGGTCTACAATGGTAGGTCTCCATGCGATTGTCTGTGGCTACATTGTAGTGAAAGAAATGTGAGCCCAGTCACAAAAATACAACATTTCTCTCGTTGATTAATCTCTAGAAAAAGTGGGAGAAAAAACGTGAACTTTTGGCTGTCAAAACCAGCGATYTCCACTGACATTTTGGAGGTTAATCTTTGGATTATYGTTGAGAACATTAATTAGATTAGATTTTTTTGACAGTAAAACTAACATTTCTTGTTTTTTCTTATWGAAACCCTTGTAATCAGTCCAATGCGATTACGGTATGAGGTCTTCTGACCATATATGTTAAAATTATGATTACATAGTTTTTGTGTGGTATTTCAATATGACCCAAAATATCACCCGGAATTCTTTTAGTATAAACGTGTTTATAATTGTGTTATGAGGGAACTGTTTCCCTGATGTCTCTTCGATGTCGTATTATTGATTGTCATCGGATCCTTCACGGGAAATACGACAACTTGACGAAACACTTCCGAATTTCAAACGAATAARAAACGACTTTTATTCCATTTCATATTCGGTAACTGAATTGTTAGAAGCCGCAATTTAAAATACATTTAGTCGTCTTGTTTTTTATAAACAAAAGGATCGGTGTTACAAACATAGATTCAAAAGAATGATGAATACATAATGATTTTCCGACGAAACTTCGGCGTCTAACTGACCTCAATAACTTCAAACTGTCATAGAGTTTAGACTAGATCCATTAGTTAGCGTCTATCAGTCTATCGCTACGTTTCAAGTTTCTTGATCTACGCTTGACAATTCACTTATGGTATTCGCGCAATTCCTCATTAGGGTTCCAATTTGTCAAGTCTGCGGCGCCAGCAGGAAGCATGACTATACATRCAAGATCAAAGGCCTCGTTGAATTCGTTAAAGTCATGCCAATATTATCAATATGAAGAATTTTCAATCTATCTTGAGTGAGCGCGCGCGTGTTTTGGTGTAATTCAATGCTATTTCAATAAAGAAATTTCAAATCGTTTCATCCTCACTAATTAGTATTGTGGGGTCACTGGAAATGGGAAAAGGCTCGCTAAAAGAAACGAAGGTCATGTCTTGTATAGCAATATCGCTTATGAGGAAAGCAAGATAATAAAATGACGAACAACACTTATTGAAGCCACTTGAAGAGCGAAAAACAACATCGCAAAGATGACGGATCCTTCACGTTATTAACATCTAACATTTTCTCCCACTTTTTCAGTTTCTGTTATGACACTAACAAGTTTAACGTAGGATTWTATGACTACTACGGATTTTAATTTAGAAAAAGAAAATGTTTATTGTCTTGTGTTTGAAACGACGATGAGAGATGGTCCTTTTTCCATTTTTTTCGTTATTCCATGTCATTACTTCTGTTGAAGCTGTTTTATTGTCTTCTGTAAAGCAAGTCGTGTCGTTGGTTTTAAAGATTTATCGTCGATAAAACCGTATTTAATGTTTTTGATGTTTGCCCCAGCTTTGATTAAGACTAAAGCACAGTCATATTCTCCCTCGCTTACAGCCGCATCCAACGGCGATAGTCCATCCTTGTCAAACACTTCCACTGCTGCTCCTTTGTCGATTAAGAAGCGTAAACAATCCATGCTTCCCGTAGTCGCAGCGCGATGTAAAGGATAAAAACCATCAACTCCAGGYTCGTTTATATCAACGTCTTGTGCTCCTGACTCTATAAGTCCTTTAACAGTATCTAAATCATTTCTACTAACTGCCCAGTTAAGAACGATTTTCGCATCTAATGACAGACTCCTCTGACGCTGTCTTGCCGGGATCACTTCTAGTGTACGACGTCGCGGAGTAGGGGTTCTTGGTAGACCGTCATTTTCTTTTCTTTTCGTAAGCTGTTCGCCGAGATAATTCATGTTGTAGACTAGCAATATAAACCGTAAATATTCATCACCTTGTTTGACCCTCGAGGGCTTGAAAACACCCGGTCATTGCCATATCAAGTCAAAACTTCAAAAATCACTGTTGGTTGCCTCAAGTTGAATTTCAATCCAAAATGTYAACTCCACTGTAGCCTACCAGCTGAACGTTCGTACTTCGTGATTTAAATTTCGATAAAAGATGATTATCAACGTATGCTCGATTGATTATTCGAAAATTGCATTCTTAGCAATTAGAATTATTTTCAAAGAAAATAAAGCTCTTACCGTAAAACTGAAATTTGCATGGATGCAGCGGGCTTAAAGAGCTTAATAGCTTTTGTGCTTTTTGAAAAGCAGTCGTATTTTAATATAAGGTTATTTTTTCTAAGTGCGCGGACACCCCATTGGTCTAACTGTGGTCACGCCTCTATATTATACCGCCCTATAATCAAAGCAAGATTACCATTAGCAATACGATTGATGATGCGAACTATAATGATGGTGATTTGTATTAAMCACTAAAAGTGTCATTAATGTGTTAGACAAATAAAGTTGTTTATAAAAGGTTGTCGTAGAGGATAGTGAATACACTACTATAGCGATAACATTCACTCACCTCCGCTTATAAAAAACAGGGGCAAGCCCATCATATATCACTTTTTTTTTCTAGTAATAATAACAGTATTGACTGTCTTTAATGGTCAATATTGCCATCATTAATGAACACCCATAGTGACTTTCGGTCGCACTTTCTCTAATCTTACCGGAAACCTTTTTTGAAATCGGACCATAAGGAAAATAATAACACTAGAGCTTAATAATGATATTGATAATGATTTTATACATTGTACAGAAAAAGAGTTCCATAAACCCATGAGTTTCCATAAACCCATGAAACACAGTGTACTACGCAAAAAGTGTATTTCACGGGTTTACACTGTAAAACCGTAATGATCATTTAATCAAGCGAACTTTTTCAGATTGCATTAATCAGAAGTTATTCACTAAAATGAATTATAGTAGCGCAATGAACGACAAAATGAMTATTGTGTAATTATACATTTAAAACATGTAATTCACGCGGTTTCTGAAAACCACTTTAGCGAACCACAGTAATGCAAATAGATAACTTTATTTACGAGTATAATACCGCTGATAATCTAATGCCCCCATAGCTGCAATATCAATRTGATGTTTTGATCTATTCATTGTACATTAGCAGTGTAATCAATTATAGCGATGAAATCTAACGACCATAATCTTGACCTGTACCCCCTTTAATACGTCACGGTGGTAATTGTACTCTTACCAAATACTTTCACCAAAATAAGTCGTGTACGGATTGAGTAATTCCCTAGTGGGGGTCTTCAAATTGTTGAAGGGGAAAATTGTTTGATGAAAAGACGTGAGAATTTTAGCGTCTGTGTGTGGTCATCGCCTCCCTTCACTTTCTTTACCATCATTTATTCGCTCTTCATTCGTCTCTTCCCTTTTATTTATCATTCCTTGTTGTCATTTACAGTCCTCCCCTTTCATTCCTTCCTCGATGTTATATTGTATCCGCTGACCATCGTCTTTTGTCCCTCCTATGCCACATTTCCTGGTAACTAGAGGCTGTCACGTGACCTCTATGTTTATATAAGGCTACAAAATTTAAGTGGAAATTTAGTGGACTGCTTTGACACCATTGAAACGACCAATAATTCATGGTCTATAGACCCCTTGCAGTTCATGGGAATGCGGCTCCAACTGGAGGACAAAACAATGGATTCTAGTTCCCAAGAGGTTAAAAATCTTTTGTTTTGTCCTCCAGATGAAGCTGCTTTGACGTCACATGCAAGGGGTCTATAAATACCTTGGACTACTCTGCAAACGTCTCTTTGCTCTATATCTTGGGTTTCCTGGATGTAAACAAGGGAGACTGTTACGAGGACCAAGCCCTCTGCTCGGCCGCTCTGATTCCAGAGGGATCCCGCAGTAGTCTCTGAACTGATAGTATCTGGTTGTTGTCGGGTATGATTTTTGCATCAAACCTCTCTGTGCCATTTTGTTACATAGATATAAAAAAAATGAGTTTGAAGTCAAAAGAGAACTTTTGGCTGTTCGTACCATTGTTTTCAAAGGACAGGTGATAATTACATTGATACAAGAAACCCTAAAAAAAGAGTCCCGAAAGCCGTCCACGCAGCTGTGCACGCAGTTTACCTGCGTAGGCTAGCACGCATATCGATCTAGTTCCCTCACGCTTCACCAAAATACTTATCATGACCATGATACACATGAACCAATGTCACGAATAGACCACTTGTCACGCAATGCTGGTACTGTCCGCGTGAGTCGTTAYGCATTTTTATTTGTCGTTTTATTTGTTTATTTATTCATTTATTTGTTTTCGTTAGTCTCTCGSAGAACGCGTTCAGTAAGTGGATGGGATAAATACTGACTGCATGAAGAGAGCTAATAATTAAAGAGGCTCACATAAAGGAATGTATCAGAACAGTGAAACAAATTCTGCCATAGTCGTGGAATTCTGCCATAGTCGTTAAATAGATAGAAATGAAAACAATGGAAATAACGGATAATAAAGGCGCATACCGAGGGACAATAAAACCGTGAAACAAACTCTAATAGTCAACCAGCCGAATAGTCAAATAGACTCAAAAGAAAAGAGGGGAATTGTTTCCTGGTTTTTGAATCATTCTAGTGGTTTTGATATTGATTGAATGGAATATTTTAAATGGACGTTTCCTACAGGTATACAATTACCGTGAAACTAAAGCAGGAAGACTTGAGCGTGATGAGTCATGAGCAAGCGATGAAAATACTCCAGTTTTGAGATCCTAAATGTGCGTGCAGCCTTAACCTCGAAAGCATGTAATATATTCTTTTAGAGATTTTATTGTAATGCAATCAGTCTGTGTACAAAGAAGACATTAAAAATTTATGCTTGATTGAAACTAAGCTTGCAAAATTTTGAATTCGAAACTGGAATATTAAAAAAATTGAAATAATTACAGCTTTATAGTTTCTAGTTCAGTTTTTTGTATGTTCGACTGTTTGAAAAAAAATCACACCAAGTCACAATGTTATTTAGGATACATGTGCTTAGACACGCCCATTTGCGCATGCGTTTCTAGGATAGSCCATTTACTCATGTGTTTATTTTAATGGTAGGGGTGCTATTTTTTATGGTAAAATGTTTGGCTAGCAGTCAAGTGTATAATATAAAACCTGTACTTTAGCTGGTATGAGGGATTAGTGTATTGAAAAATTTCAGGTATCGTCAGAAGACCAGTTTATTGTAACGATTTTCAAGCCTTTTGTCGGGTCGAACGATCATTGAAAGTAAACTTTTTTTATTGTTTCGAGTTTTAGCAACAACATATGATGTTTTCCAAGTTGTGAATTTGTATACAATAAAGTTATATTATACTATATAATTAAACATTTATCAACCAAAGAGAGGTGTAGTCTTTCAATGTGCGCCAAAAAAAGAATGATTTATGGACGTCAACAAAGGCAAATTTTACTGAACATAAAAGCACAATGGGCCAAAGACATAACATTGGAAAATGACACTTTTTCTATAAAAATGACCAATGTTCCTAATCTACCTTTCACTGTTCATCAATTTGTTCGCGTGAAACCCTTCAGATCGTCATTTGAGATCAGATGATTTTTTCCCATTCAAGATTAGTGRCATCGAAGCTACGTTTCATACATATATATTATTGAGAAGGTCATATCAAGACCAAATAAATTTGACAATAAACTAAATCGTCAATAAATTGCTCTGTGTTGTCAGTGTCACGTTTTGTCGGCGTTTGACTCTAGTCGAAGTGCCTATAAATTTCCTGAACAAGTAAAACGGAAAGAGTGCTCTTTTTACGCTGCGCTGAAAATAGGCTTGAAAAACAGCGTCTCAGTTACTGTCCCGGAAATTATGGAAATGGAGCATTAATAAAACAAATAGAATAAATGAAGAGAGTTTTCAGTTGCCGAWGACAAAATGATAGAGAAACGGAAATATTACAGTAACAAAAGAAAATTGAAAACAAGCTGAAAGGAACGGATTGAGGATAAACTGCTAAGATAAACTAAAAGTAAACACAACAGCGGATATTAGCCTGATTTGATCGAAGGTATTAAAAATACACGCCGGGCCAAGCTGAGTAACAATTCAATTTTCTAACCCGGACAGTTATGGACTTAACTCCATTTTTTTTATTTTTTCTTATTTGTCCATTGTTTCATTTTTCAGTATTTGTACAGCAATTTTATTACTGTCTGAAAAATATGTTTACAAAATCATTACAGTACAATTTCCTTGCTGATCCTTAAACGAAAGTGGAAAGCTCACTAAAAGCGTTATAAAAACTGAAACACGAGCTTGTCTTCACACACCGTGGCAAATACGCTGTGAACTCGACCCTCCCGGAAACCACGACATGATATAGTCCACGACATTTCTGTAACAAATCTTGTTATTAGTCATTAAACAGTCAATCCTGCTGGTTTTTCTTACTTTTTCTGGTGGGTTTATAGAGAGTAGCTAAAGTAAAAACAACGTGTTTGACAACAGGTGCCCTTTTGTACACTGCGTCCGCCATAATGTTTACTTGGGATGTCTGAATCTAGTGTGAAATGTCTGTAAAAAATTCAAAAAATGCTTACACATTAATGCTTCATTATAAGTCGTTTGTTTAACTGGGTAATTATTGTAAATTCAAAAGTCCTTAAAATAAAAATGGTTCATAAAAGCGGGCGTCGTTGCGACGGCGGGAAAACTGCACGTTTCRCTGGACTCTACGTCACTTCAGGAAGTTGCGGAGGGGAAAGTTTCTTTGGCGTTTCATAAGCGGTCAAGGACATGAAGACTTACTTTCCAACAAAAAWCGTATTTTTAGCGTATGTAAATAAATCYAAGAAATGGCAATTTTACACTATTAAGGTGATAACTAACTGAGAAAATGGAGGCGTCACTTGCTCGCTTCCAGCGTTACACTTGGCTTTAATCTATAAACGATTATCTCATTGGTTCATTAAACAAAGGATCGAGTAAAAATTTYAATAGTAGGAGAGATTTGATTGGCTAAGGAGTGAGGAGTCGTCAGCCGACTAAAGTGTGAATATATTGACTGCTTCTCCCGTTATTTTCAACCAGAGGCAGTCTGCAGAATAACTAACTTATTTGCCCCTCGAAGAACGCTGTAATTTGGAACAATTGAGTTTATGCCCTGGGTCAGGCATCATTTGTAAGGGTTTAGCTGTCTTTCTGGRCTAATTTTTGYCAAGATTTGGGKTTTCCTGTAGCCCAGTGCTTATAAATTTGGAGCGACAGTAACTTAATGCCAGAGATGATTCTCTACATAGACTGACACAGGACTTTAYTCAACGCCTGCAATTTATTGTGATTATTGAATGAATACATGGTGCTTTGAAAGAACCGAATTATGGACCCTACCGAAAGCTTCATGTTCCCCTCTGGAGCTGTCGGCGATGGATTGGTAGACGAATGTAAGTTGAGGATTGTGTTCGACGACTGTAGTCGTCTGCGAGCATTTGTTGTGAAATGCACTCGTTCTCGTGTTAGAAGTGAGCTTATCTGTCCTTGTATTGCAGATGAAAACGACCCTAACGAGAAGTCACACGGAAGATTAAGGAAACGTAAAAGCAACGTCTCATTCATGAAAGAGTAAGAGTGAATCGTGTTATGTGTGTTGTGGTTGCAGCGAAGATAAGCTCAAGTTGTAGCTTTTGCTTTCAACTTCGACGTGTCTGAACCTCTGTTATCTTTCGTTCATTTCACATTATTTTTGACATAGCATTAAAAAAGATTCGCTTTCTTGTTTGCAGCGATGAATCTGACGACGACGATACRGACAAACCAGAAACCAAGATGTCCAGGTAGGCTACTACTGAACTAATGTTTTTGTTTGTTTGTAAGTGATGTAAAGAAACGATTCAAGCCGGGTTAGAATCCTTCTCGAGTTTAAAAGATTGGTTCATAATTATTACAAAGTGTAAGACCTTTTGTCTTTTCCATTTTCAATGTTTTGACTGTGATGTGTAATATTTYGGTCGACACATTCAATGCTGGTTTGTTTACTAGTAAAAACTGCGATATCCCGTTCTATGCCCCGCCATGCACCGCTTAATTTTCTTTCAGCTTTATAATTTTTGTATTATTGTACAATAACCTCACAGGAAGTCTTTTGTGTTACTTTTATGTACTTCTGTGCATCTACGCGGTTGCCCTCGTGAAATGAAAATGTAAAACTTAATTTTTATCTGCAGACAAAGTGGAGAGTCGGACAACGTGAAAGACAAATTTGCCAGGTAAAACCAATACACAATCATGGTACATACATACACCAACAACAATAACAACACATTAATATTAGTCTATTTCACAGACTAACAACAAATTCACCACAAAACTAAGTTTATTAGYAAGAAWTTTCTATTGAAAGACAAGTCATTGTTTGCCGTCTGGAGTAAAGTTCGTCCTAAAACACTGTCTTGTTAACCTCAAAAGATTTAAACCTTTTAACTTAAGGGATAGTTTTAAAAGATGTAGTAGTAAAGGATTTGAACATGAGGTATAGCCAGTAAATCCATCAGCTGCTCTGGTTTGGAAATGGTTTGGCTAATCAGTTTCGAGTGGTGAGTGGAAATTTCTCCCCCACAGTGCCTCAAATTTCCTGCCAAGTTACTCTCTTAAATGAGCGTAGAATTARAAGAAAGCTTTTAAGGGTGTTTAAAACACTCTTCTTGAAAAAAATAGAGTGTAGTGACCATTTCCTCTAGGATATAACACTTTAATATTGCTAACCAAAGCATGTCCAGAAACTCTAATTTGTTCTTGAAGAGGAAAATTATTCTTAGCTTTTGAAAGTGGCTTAGATGTYGATGTAAAAACCTAAATAGTACCTAAATGGATTGCATTATCTTTTCTAAGTACAAATACTCTTCAAAGGCCATAGTAAATGTATATAATAACAACAGTAAGTTGACTATGTCTGGTCAARGTATCATCTGTCAGTCACCAGCTAGGTTCTAGCCAGAGAGATTCAATTTCAGAGGTGTTATTTTATTGTGTCCAGGAAATGCTAAAGTGCTCATCAGACCGTGGCAAATAATGCTCTTATCATTGATGCATTTCGCAAACTCTTCATTTATAAGTAAATACAAGTTCAAGCTCAGATTTCACTCTGAAATTAGATCATAATCACTGTACAAATATCTAAAAACAGAACTCTTTGCTTTTACTGGTAACTTGAGTCAATTGGCAAACACTCTTGTAACCCTAATTGTGTCCACTGGCTGGAAAAAGCCTTTGTTTTAGCATTGAAAGTGCCAGATTATAATTAGCTTTTTTGAAGCTGAAAATGTGRAGTCTCATTGATARATTCAGAAATAGATTAATGTGGGAGCTTTGAATGACAGCTCAATAACCATGTAACCCACAGTTGTACCAAGATAATGCTTGGTAGTTTGTTGGTCTTATTGTTAAGTGAAATGGCATGGGGCTTTATGCTAAGCAGCTAACTAGGATTAAGTGATATTTGTTATATCAAGATTCAATCTAAAATAAAACCAGTTTTCYCTTCCCTTGAGATAAGAAAACCTTCTCCGCTGAACATTATCTTAGAATTACTTGATGACTGAGGGATGGTTAATTTCCATTTTTGGATCTACAATCACATAAAACATAATTCTGTAATTAAGAGCAACAGCAACTGTCCAATCAAGTCATATTCCTCTTGAAAAACCTTTCCATTATGTATTGATTTATTTGTAGATATCTAAGGTTGGTTTTAAACGCCTTGACTCATGCAATCGTGGCATTGTCTGGTTTCCTCTGTTCTCTTCTAGCAACACCTGGTTTGAAAAACAAAATTCTTTTAGAACATAGAACAATAGAGCTTCTAACACCATACTACATTACTTCTATATAATGAGTTTTATAATGTCTATTGTTTAGCATATATGTGACCAGTATCTGGTATAGTCCTATGTCGATAATTGGCTGTCTTGACCACATTTCACTTGTTTGACAAATCTGTCTTCCTTGGTTTAATTTTAGCTGATTCATAATTATGGTTTTTATCAACCATCCCATATAAACATCCCTAGCAATATTCACATGATTGRAGTCAAACCATTTCAATATATTATTTTGTCTAACTTATTCAAAAATCTTTTCAATTGAATGCTACATTGGACAATGTTAGACAAACCTGTCTGGAAATTGAYTTTTTATTTTGCAATATTGATGTTACACGTGGTCAGGTCTGAGGGTAAATCTCTGAACAAACAGCCTAGATTATTACTATTGTCACCAAGTTRATAGGATATTTTCATGTTTGCAATATTAGTCCTGCACATGCTTAAACCTAACATCAATAAATGCACAAGCATGGAGCATTAAATAGCACAACGGGAAGCTAATCCTGTTGCTCACCATGTTTAACAATATCAGCTATCTTGTTGACATTGGAAAGGAGTTCATGAATGTTTACCTAACCTAGATATTTCAGCAAATATAATATAAAGAAGTACTTCTTACACTATCATAAAATAAACAGGGCAAAAAATTAAAGTTTGTCAAATGACCAGTAATGACTAGTTTTACTGGTCAAGTCTTTGTGCAAACAAACCTTTCTTAATCAAAAAGATCTTTTGAATGGTAAACTTGAACTTTCCATTATCTTTGGCTCTGATCAACTTGAACTTTAATTTGAAATTACCTTCAAAGTGAGACCATTATGTTGAATTTTTATTTCTTAGATTTAATGATGACATGTTAAAAACTTACATCAATATTGTGATTGATGGCTGTAATTGTAGAAAAGCCAATATACATTGGTATGGAGCATGTTGTAAAGAAAACTGATCATCTCAAATTGTTCCATTCACAGGGAAAACCACAGCGAGATTGAAAGGAGACGTCGAAATAAGATGAATGCATATATTAATGAGTTGTCTGATATGGTACCATCATGTACGGGATTGGCCAGGAAGCCTGATAAATTGACGGTCTTGAGGATGGCTGTTAACTACATGAAAACTTTAAGAGGTTAGCTCAATATCTATCAAATATATGAGGATTTATTTCAGGAATTGTTTTTGGGAATACCAGTATTAATGATTTAGCTCACATAACTTTTGTATTTRGCTAAATCTCATATTAGCAGGGAACATTAAACTGTCATATTCAAAGAATAATGACAGCAGAGTCCAGATCATATCATGGTGCTTGGAAAAAAGATTTTTTTGATATCATACCAACCATAAATCAAATTAAGAAGTGTGATATCATTCATTTAAAGAAACAAAGCAAACCAACACCTTAAAAATATCTCTTTGATTTGTAAATTTGTTCTTGTTTAGAATCATCCAAAGAAGAAAAATTAGGTAACATTCTTTTTACAGACCTTTTTCACTAAGATAATGTTTAAACGTAAAGTTATGTTTTGCCTTAATGCAATGGGTACAGTAAAAGCTCACTCATTCTCTTCATTATTTTAACAATGGCACTTTCAGTTGGATTTTATGGAACTAATATATCAGGSATTTTGTTGAAATAGTAGAATATTTTAAGTGGAAATTTGAGAATATAACAAAGGATATCATTCAAATTATGCTCTGAAGTGTTTTTATTAAATTTAGCATATCATGTTGGCATGATTTTTAATGGTCTTTTTCATGTAAAAAAAAAAAACACCCAAAACATTATTTTAGAATCTAAACACAGCCTAGTAATAGTAATCGATTACAAAACACCTTTCGATGAATCATGATGGTATTGTTATAAACATTTGAGTTATAAAATGTCTATGACCGACAATTTGTTATCACATGTAGATCTGATATTATGCAATGTGATATTTTATACTATTTTATTAGTATTGTCTTTCATATGCCTAACACAAACKTTTTACAACAAATAGCATCATTAATTTACATCTGAATCATTCTTCAATCTTTATGATTTCAAGGTTTCAATATTTTTTTCTGCTTAACAAAATGGAATCTGAATATTACATTTATTACAATAATATAACCAGCTGGTCACGAATGCTAGAACCCCTAGACACAATGTTAATTGAGTTTTAACATTTTCTATTGCACTTGTGTTATATAATATATGTTTTATTTCTAGGAAATGAAATTATTGAAGATAGCACTAGTATTTCATTTCATAAACTTACAGAAAGTCACAATGTGAAGAGTATACTGTACAYTGTCCKGTGAAAAAAACTAACTTTACCTTCCAAAGGACACAAAACATGCAAAATGCTGTACTTCACCATGGGTCCTATTTTAATCAAAGGACTATAAAGAGAATAGAAACAAAATGATGGAATGGGAATCCCATTCACTTCTGTTTATGTGTATAATGTTTATGTGATGTTTGTCAGCTTTTTCTTAAGCTACTGTTAAATTATCAATCAATCAGTAATTTACTATTATTAATATAACTAATCACTTAATAAACATTAATAATGATTGTGCCTGCATCTTGTGAAAAACATCCCATAGCCAAAATGTTCAGGAACTTTTTTTCTTGTATGTTGTGAATAAATCACTATGAAAATTGACTCTATGAAACTTACAACATTTGAATATTTTCAATTCAATATGWCCAAGCATCAAGATCTAGTACCAATTTTTAGAGACATAATAGAATAAGTTACATGATCAGTGTATGAAGACTCTGCTGTTGTGGCGATTCGTTATTTAAATTTATGAATTTGAACCAGGATAGATTAATGGGAGTCTCTTTTGTGTATCCAGTGTCAGTTTTTTTGTGTGTAACATATGCCATCCATTACATTTCAGTTTGTATTTTTATAATTTCTGGATGAAAACAAGTACGGCAGTGCCTTTAGCTTAAAAGACTAAAAATCTTGATACTGACCAATTTTTTTTCACATTTGTTCTGGCTTTTTTCCTTTGGTCTGCAGCACACAATTCCTTTAAAAGTGTTAATGTTTGTGTTGTAATACTCTTTGTTTCAGTTTGTAACGTGTTAAGATAGTTTTAACAATCAATTTTACTAATCTTCAAAGAGTTCACAATGATATCACAGATTTTCCTTTAAAAAACCATTGTCATTGAAGGCAATTTGTAGTTTTTTTTAGGAAAGTCCTTGAGTGACTTTTATGTACCCTTCTTGTGTTTAAGGCTATAATAATTATTATTAATGGTTAATATTAACATATAGTAATCACCTAGTATACTAACTTCACATAAAGCACCTTTTTGTGTATTAATTGAATTTAGGTTCAAGTGTTATGTTTTCATTGAATTTCAGCCCCTCAAGATGTCAATTACAAACCATCATTCCTTTCTGATCAAGAACTGAAACACTTAATCTTAGAGGTAAAATAATAATATGTATATAATTAATTTTTTTTGTTATTCAGGTAATGTTTAGTAGCCTCAACTCAGAGATTTTGCTGATGATACAAAAATAGACCTCTTTGTGAATGTAAAAAAACTTCACACTTTTCATTGTAATCATTTGAAGTATAATATTCCCTGAATGCTCAAAAAAGAACCACAAAAATGATTCTGTTTTCTGGTGCCTTGACTGTATTGTCCAAAATCAAAATCAAAAACGTTTTCTGTTGCATTTTAATGTCAATGATGTGGTTCCAATGTCTTTATATTCTTGTTCTTTCTAGGCTGCTGATGGATTTCTGTTTGTTGTAAACTGTAAAACAGCAATGGTTGTGTATGTATCTGACTCTATAACTCCTGTCCTTGGACAACCACAGGTAAGATATACAATTCATTTAAGATTATTACTCTCTCAAGGCCAAATGAACTCCAAAAATTCATAGATGAGCTTCCAAACTACTGTTGAAAGCTCAAACTTTGTTTTTTTTTGTGGGAAAGAATTTCACAATATTTCTAATCACATAATTGTTTTCTGGATGATTTTCCAGGCTGCCTGGATGAACCAATCCTTATACGATTTGATCCATCCTGATGATATTGAGAAAGTACGAGATCAACTGACCTCCTCAGATTCCCCTGACGCTGGTCGRGTTTTGGACATTAAAAGTAAGACACTATTACTACTACATTTTACAGCGAACAAAACTTTAAAACCAATGAGTAATGTGTTATCTCTGTAACACTGACCTTAACCCCAACCAKTCTGAGAAACAGAAAATCAATATAACTTTATCTACAAATGTGTTGTTTATTTTTCAGCTGGTAATGTAAAGAGAGATTCACATGGAGGTAAAGAGATAGTCTAAGAAAACTCCTTGTTACTTTTACAGCAGAAACCATTGCATTGCGACTTCAATGTTCAGAAGAAATCATGAGAATTTAGTTTTTTTCTGCGACTTTGTGGCAGAGCTTGCTGCAAACCAGCCAATGACTGAACAAGTTTACAAAAAGCTCCGCCCCTTAGGTCGAAGGAAAGAACAAAATCAAAACAAACTTCAAAACAAATAAGTCGCAATGAAAATGATTTTCACTGTAAAGTATACAACACAGGAATGGACAATTAAAATACATTGTGTTTTTTTTTCATAATATTACAAGAGTTGTGCATTGAATCAAGTGTAATCTTGTCCTTTCTATATTTTTTTAGCTCATTCAAGAGCACAAGCAACTTCAAGAAGAAATTTTATCTGTCGAATGAGATGTTCAGAGATGGAGGATAGTTCTGAGACAGGAAATAAAGACAAATTAGGGGTATTAGATGAGGAATATGCCATAGTTCATTGTACTGGCTACCTCAAGGTAATGGTAGAAAACAAAAGCATGATTTATCAACTGCAATTAATTTGTGGGGAACTTAAAAATGAGTATCAATATTGACAACATTCTGGATTCTTGGCTTCACAATTATGATGTTTACATACATTTATGATAAAGCTCATGTTCCGCATTTCATTTTGTTCAAAAAAAAAACTCTACTCAAGTGCTGTTCCTATTTCTATTACCATATCCATCACAATCCTCTAGAGATATGTATATGCAATGCTAGAGATATAATGCAATTATGAGCTCAGATGAGATTAGTATTATTATTGAACAATTACAATCATCTTGACATTAGAACTGGACGGGTAACAATGGGACAGCAAGTTATGG